TAACCTCCTCACCCCCATCACCCGCACTAACCTCCTCACCCCCATCACCCGCACTAACCTCCTCACCCCCATCACCCACACTAACCTCCTCACCCCCATCACCCGCACTAACCTCCTCACCCCCATCACCCACACTAACCTCCTCACCCCCATCACCCGCACTAACCTCCTCACCCCCATCACCCACACTAACCTCCTCACCCCCATCACCCACACTAACCTCCTCACCCCCATCACCCGCAGGGGACAGAGCCTTTGCCGTTTCTGCCCCAACCCTCAAAACCCATCTTTTCAAACAAGCTTTTCCGTAAACCCTTTTTTTATTATTGTATTTTATCCTCATGTGAAGCTTCTTTGAGTCTCCAAAAAAGCGCTATACAAGTTTGATATATTATTATTATTATTGTCTATAAATCCCTGTGGTGCTGATAAACTTCCTGTAGTCCATGGTTAGCACTCATGTCGTGACTTGTTTCAAAAGTGGGAAGTTTTAAAAGTCTTCCCTGTTATGAAAAGCCGGCCCACGGTTTGAGAACGTCTTGTCATTTCTGTTTCACGTCGCGACAGAAAGATCCAAAGAAGAGGTGACAATCACAGAGCAGAGAGACATTAGCAGATTCATATTTTCACGAGAGCTTATGATGATGCCGCCACTGCCACCGACAGCAGTGGATTAGCATCATCTAAAAATCATAATCCTTTGACTTTGTAATTGGTTTTACATTCTCGTTTAGACCAGGAGGATTCACTCAGCGTCGTAAATCCTCAAAACAAATCCACATCGGTCCAAACTCTCCCGTTTACGTTGTGGGTTAATCCAGGTGTAAGCTGAGAGAGGTATGTGTATCTGAATGAGCAGATTAGCTCTGAAGTCCCTCAGCTTCACACACACAGCTCAGAGAGGAGTGAGAGCTCTGTTCAAAGAGGAGTGAGAGCTCTGTTCAAAGAGGAGTGAGAGCTCTGTCAGACTCCAGAAGCTCTGAATCAGGGAAGTCTCTGGTGGAAGACGTTCAAATGTTCCGACACTGAATATTTGATGAGAGTAAAAACAGGTTAAATGAGTTTAGTTTATGTTTATGATCCGTCTGAGCGCTGTTTCAGTGTTTTAGGTTTATTCAGGATAAAAACAAGAATTACAGCTAAGAAGCAACACATTTTATTCTCCACAAATTGATCTTGGACGGTCTCCATGGAAACAAGCCGGAACAGCAACTTTTGCAGGAGGCTGGTAACCTGGTTTAGTCTGCAGATTGGGTCAGATTACACATGGGTTTAACATGATATATATAAGGTATTATAGAGCTATTATGACACATGTAATGTCTGTTTCAAAGCCCGACACTTGAACTGTATACAAATGCTTTGATATTAAATATTTACTAGTGTTTCATAAACTGCTGAATCAGAATAAATATCACGGACCATCAACAATAGTCTTTATGCAGGAACATACATTTGTTCATATTTCATAAATGTTTAAAACTTAACCTTCAGGATTGTGTTTACATCATAAATACATCAACAAACCCAGTCAAAAGTACCCTGGTCGTACCACACCATAGTAGCTCCATTGACTCCGTTAACAGGTGGGAGGGGCTAACTCTTTTTGCAGATTGAAACCATTGGATCTGAGTTTACTGTGACGTATGTAATGAGCCTGAGTAAGTCGTTAGCATTTAGCTTAGCTTAGCTTTAGCATTTGGCATAGCTTCAGCATTTAGCCTAGCTTTAGCCATCTCCTTTGCCGCTAACGGAGCCCGTGGGGAGTAGAGCCACAATCTTTGCAGTGATTACATTTGCTAAACATTCCTCTTGCTCCAGCTTCAGTTTCTTGATAGAACCAGACCAGAATACTTTACTATCACATTCTTCACCAAACTACAACCTGCCTGTTCGACATAAACTGATTGGTCGGATGGAATTCAACCGATTGTAATCTCAAACACAGGGACCAGACCCAGACGTTACCTGCAGGACATGACGATAGACCTGAGAGAACAGATGGATAAGACCAGGGTCAGACAAAAGAGAAGCTACAAATAAACACTGGTTTTCTGTGTGTCCTCTGTGTCTTCAGAGTCCACTTTAGGAATCACCTGCAGCTCCAAGTTTTACAGACTTTGGCTCAGTGCCTGCTCCGATCATGTGGCTGCACAAAACACACAGCACAAAACACTCGGCACAAAACACTCGGCACAAAACACTCGGCACAGGTGCAGAGATTTGTACAACAACCTCCAACACACATTCACAAAGAACTCAATCATTCATATTGAAGAGAGACTCGCCTCTCCACAGACCTGACCGGCAACACACAGGACGGGAGGAGGCCACACAGATGTACCACAGCGACCTTTAAATACAGCCTCGGACGCACTACTTATTGTATTTCTGACAACGGTAAGTATTTCTGACAACGGTAAGTATTTCTGACAACGGTAAGTATTTCTGACAACGGTAAGTATTTCTGACAACGGTAAGTATTTCTGACAATGGTAAGTATTTCTGACAACGGTAAGTATTTCTGACAACGGTAAGTATTTCTGACAATGGTAAGTATTTCTGACAACGGTAAGTATTTCTGACAACGGTAAGTATTTCTGAATGTTACACATATTTGAGATTTTTTTCAAATCTTCTGCGTCTTCTTTCTATGACACAGACTTCCTCATTTTCTTCCCTTCATCTGTAAACAACAGTAGCTCAGTGTGTAGAGCATTGGGCTTTGAGCCTGAAGGTCGTGGGTTCGAGTCCACCACAAGACTTTCTCCATCGTCTGCTGTTGTTGTGTCCTTGGGCAAGACACTTAACCTCTGGGAACAGGAGTGGGGCGGCTGCGGCTGTAAAGTGCCAAACTTTACACCTGTCTTTAGGCAAGACACTTCCCCCCACTGCCTAGACTCAAGAGTGTGAGGTGGACAGAGGGGCCGATGGCACAGACTGGTTGCCTCGCTTCTGTCAGTGTGCCCCAGGGCAGCTGTGGCTACAGTAGTTTATCACCACCGTGTTTGTAGTGAAAGAATAATGACGCCTGAAGGGACTTTGAGTGTCCAAACAAAGAGCTGTATAAAACCGATGCATTATCACAATTATTATTAATAAACATAATTTATATATTGATATGAGTGACTGATTTGTAAGAGCAGGTCCATAAATATCGATGGATCTAAAACCATCTGTAAAAAGCTGGAACAGTCTGAGTTCTCTCATTTTGACATTTTTAATCACATGAAGTAATAAAAAGGAGTCCTACATTCCCATGATACAGACCACAGTAATGGCTTCAGCTCTGACGGACATCGGACTATAAATACATTACTGCTTTTGAGTGCTTCAGAGTAAGAAATACCTCAGAGTTACTTCACATTATTGTTCATAAAAGCAGACGATGACCCCGAAGACATCCTTCCTTCACATTATACTCCCAGCAGTGGACGTTTGAGATTATTGTTATAATTAGAGACTTCTCCCAGACATTACTCACAGCTTTTAACAGATTAGCAAGAAAATGATCCCTAATTACATGTTCATCCACTTTTCTCTTCTCTCCAACGGGAACAGTCTGTGGAGAAAGTGCCTCTGCGAATGACACCGAGAACCTTTTTAGGCTCATCTCCCACAGACAGACTGGGTTTATCTGTCTGTGCCATTTCCTTAGGTCCTGGGTCTACAGTCTGAGTCCTCGTTCTACAGTCTGAGTCCTCGTTCTACAGTCTGAGTCCTGGGTCTACAGCCTCAGTCCTCGTTCTACAGTCTGACTCCTGGGTCTACAGCCTCAGTCCTGGGTCTACAGCCTCAGTCCTGGGTCTACAGCCTCAGTCCTGGGTCTACAGTCTGAGTCCTGGGTCTACAGCCTCAGTCCTGGTTCTACAGTCTGAGTCCTGGGTCTACAGCCTCAGTCCTGGTTCTACAGTCTGAGTCCTGGGTCTACAGCCTCAGTCCTCGTTCTACAGTCTGAGTCCTGGGTTTACAACGTGTTCGTCTGTGTGGAGCGGATCCCTCTCTCAATGTGATGATCTCCCCGAGGTTTCTCTCTTTTTTCCCACTATGGTCCAATACCATGTTGTTTCTCACCTGGTCCTACACACCTGGTCCTACACACCTGGTCCTACACACCTGGTCCTACTCACCAGCATCGATCAAAATGACTCCTAATAGACTATATTAGACTGAGAGCAGCGGTAGCGTAGCAACGGCGGGAGCTACAGACAGACACACACACCGTCTCTCTCACACACACACACACACACCGTCTCTCTCACACACACACACACACACACCGTCTCTCTCACACACACACACACACACAGTCTCTCTCACACACTCTCACACACACACATAGACACACACACACACACCGTCTCTCTCACACACAAAGTTTCTCACACACACACACACACACACAGACACACACACCGTCTCTCTCACACACAGTCTCTCTCTCACACACACACAGTCTCTCTCTCACACACACACACACACCGTCTCTCTCACACACACACACACACACACACACAGCTCTGATTGCTGAGTGGAGGAATGAATGTGTGTAACTTCCTGTTTCCGTCCCATCATTTATAAACCCTATTTATAAACTTCTGATTAACAGAATATTTAGATTTTCAGCTCGCAGTCGCTTTTCCTGTGGTTCTTCATTGTGTTGATTGTTAAAAGACAGTTTGGGCTTTTTCTTCCTGAAATAAACTATAACTAAATAGACTAGTTTTTTAGCCTCAGAAGAAATAACCACTAATTTTGGTTTCCATGGCACCTGCAGCCGGGATTTTTATTGATTGACTGCGGAACCTTCCGCAGTCAACCATTGGTTTTGTATTTCTTTATTCCGTCATTTTTTTTGACACGTTTCACAGCTTTCACATTTTCAACAATTTCCACAAGTTATACATCAAAACGTTCCACATGTTTGGGAGATTATTGCTATTACTTTTGGGACTTCAGCGATTTCCGGTTTTTCCGCAATCGGACAAAAATCTGCATTGAGAATTCTGCAATGCATTTTAATAGGCCCATGCATTTTAATAGGACTTCAGCTCTTTCAGACATTTCTACAGTTTCAATGATTCAACAGTTTCAAGGATTCAACAGTTTCAAGGATTTCAGCAGTTTCAAGATTTCAAGAGTTTCAAGGACTTCAACAGTTTCAAGGACTTCAGCAGTTTCAAGGACTTCAGCAGTTTCAAGGACTTCAGCAGTTTCAAGGACTTCAGTGTAAT